TTTTTTTCAGGCTTTAATTTCACAACTGCTTAATAAGTTGATGTGTGTATAACTGCACTGATCAATAATGTCTGCACATCTTTCTTTGCAGTTCAAATATTTCTTCTTTCATACATTCACTTGTATTTGTTGTTGTTGTTGTTGTTGTTTTTTCAGAACATAAAGATCCCGAGAAAGCAATGAGTTTGTTTCATGAAGCATGTGAGAAAAATCAAGCTGGAGCTTGCAACAATGCTGGACTTGTCTATCAAAATGGAGTAACTGGATCGACAATAGAAAAAGACATATCCAAGGCTGTTCAACTGTTTCAAAAAGCATGCGACTATGGACATAAAAATGGGTGCTTCAACCTAAGTGCAATATATCTCATGGGGAAAGATGGCATTCCAAAGGATATGAAAAGAGCATATGAACTGTCTTTGAAAAGCTGTGAAATGATGCACCCATGGGGTTGTGCTAATGTCAGTCGAATGTATGCTATAGGTGACGGTGTAGAGAAGAATACACAAGAAGCCGAGAAATATAAAAGACTTGCAAAAAAGTACTCTGGGCAGGTCGGTGACACAAGAATGTGAACAAGGAATTCTTTTCTCATAATGAGCAGTAAAAGAAAGAAGAGAATTTTATTAGTGTTTCATGTTACATGATGGTAATATAGATCATAAATCAGATATTGCTGCACCTCACCTGTTATTGTTTACAATAAAATCCTAGTGTGGTATTTTTGTTTACTTAGAGGTTGTCTTCTATTGCGATCAACCCTTTCTGGTTGAATTAATTGGGTTGGTTGGGTGTTTTTGTGCTCTATTAAGGGAAAACCGTTTTCGGTTGGTTTGGTTGATCAATGTGCGTGATTGTAGCTTGTGTAAGGACTATTCCCAGGAGTTACCACATTTCAACCGAAAATGGTTGGAAAAGTAGTGTTCTATTGAGAAACATCAACGGTATCAACCCAAACTGGTTGTGGTTGAAATCGTTAATCCCAGTGGAACATAAACGTAACCTTATAAATAGTTAGTAACTTTTATAACAGCTTGAGAGGTAATAAGGCAAATTTTATTCTGAGCTTGATCTTCTGTTTACAATATGTGCTTACAAAAAATATCCAAACCTGTCCCAACGTAGATCACTGGAAATAAATAAAAAGCAATTCCCACAGTTGAGTGGGTGTGAGTAAAACCAAATTACACCATTCAGTGGGAGTGGTATGAATATTTTCTACAACAACTCAAATACCGTAGAACTTCCACTAACAGACCCCTCCTGTATGTGGACGTGGGTCAAGGCTCCAGCTACATACAAACACTACATTTTTAACCTCCAACAGGACGAGACCTCACCTAAACAGATTTTTTTTTCTGGTGTCAAGGGTGTTAACCCATGGAGGTTTAACTGAATTATCTTGCAAAGCATTACACCTCATTTTATTTGCCATGAATGTCCTTTAAAACCTATCTACGGGCGCTAACTAACTTACAATTTTAATTTAATTCATTAAGTGGTCTATGCCCCAGGGAGGGACTCCCTTGCAAAAAGGACAGGGATGCTCATGAATCGGGAATTTTGAAAAGAACTCCTAAGAGGTATCAAGGCCCTGTTTTGTGGGTGTGACTTAAAATACTTTTCACTCCTAAGAGGTACCAATTCTACAGCAACCCATTAACTAATAAAACACTTTCATAATTTTTCGTAGCAATAAAGCAATTGCTTGAAAGATCTTCTACTCATAAATACCCTTAAACGTATCACGAAAGTGATAGGCTGAACACCCTAGGAGGTACCTTAAATGCTTTTGGAACCCTTTAATTTAAAGGTACAAGGNCCCCCACCCCAGGGTCTATGCATCTACAGGAAGTAATATTAATATCAATCCATGCGTGAGTGGACCTACTTTGTTGAGAAAGGTACCAATCTATTAACAAGAGAGGCAGTTATACACACCGGTTAGTACACCAGTCTAAATGTTTTAAAATTCAAAAATCCCAGCGGAGACTCCCAATCTATACTGAGGTACATGCTCAGCTCAACAGAATTTGGATAAAACCTCCGAAAAGTACCAATAAGTAAATCATTCTTGGGGAGGAAGTGGCTTAGTGGGGGAGGAGGGGCACGGCAAGGCTATCCTAAGAGGCATCGGAAATTACAGATTGAATTAGTTACTGCAAGTAAATTATATAATATTACAAAGTGGAAGTACAACACCTATTGGGAATTTGCTACTGAGCATCGGCTTAGAAAATAAACTGGGACAACATCAGGCAAAGAAAAACTTCACTGGCCATGGTATGGTAGGGTTAAACCTGTGATCTCTAGATTACATCACCGTTGCCCTACTGACAGCGAAGAGAACAAATGGCAGAAAGTCAGAGGTTACACAACTAACAAAGAGAGCTACACTTTAACCGGTGTATGTGACAACTGTGAAAATGTGATAAAGAATGCAATATTTAGTGGTACCAAAGCACCATTTTCAATACATAAAAATGAATGTGACAACGAGTGTGCCCACATTCACAGTCTCCAAACAAGATGCCTGTGGCAATTGTTTGTGAAAATAATTATGCTATCTTGAATAAAACTTCTCTCAATCATCCAAGGTTCACCAATTTTATAAAAGTCAATGTTTAAAATTCATTTCTCTTTGCAGAGACATGCAATCTTGAGCTAAACTTCATCTATAAGAAAACATTTTAATGTCACTGGCAGTGGAAGCTCCTCTATGTCATTCCAATGGCAGGCAAACTGTTTTCTCAAGTGAACTTTACAAATCCGTGTTAGTGGCTGAGGCATTTCTAGAATAAGACAATAAAATATATTATTAACATACCGGTATTAATCAGCAGACACGTCAGCCCTGAGGAGCTTTGAAGGTAATAATAATAAGATAAAGGCTTGCAGAAAGCATTTCGATATGAAAATACCCAAAATAAAAACAACATACTTTCAACATCTTCCAGATGTCATTATCAGAAGTTTCAAATGCAAATGTCGGGGTTTGTGTTCAAACATTTAAGCACAAACTCTGACCTTTCCATTTTTTAACTTGACAACATTTGACATCTTTTAGATGTTGAAACTTTAATCTTTGGATGATGCTGTGGATCAGCCAAAGCTTAGACTTTGATTTAACAGTAGTTTCAGGCCTCATTTTATTTTGAACTTTTGCAATGTCAAAACATTGCCGCTATTACTTGAAATCACATATTTTCATGAAAATAAATTGAAAGAGAACAACTTTTTCACATAACCACTGGTTGCTATTCAAAGCTACATGTAACTGCATGCTGCAGGCCCACCTTTATTTTTGTAGACCCCAAAAAGGTACAGCAAACAACATACCAGAACTGGTATTGTAAGTATTAATTGAAAATAATATAGTGATAGCTTTCCAGTATGCGATGGAGCCCTCAGGGCAAGGGGAAGACGGGTCACCCAAGAAACTCCTGGAGAAGGGGTGAAGAGTCTGAAATAAGGAAGTGGGGCCACACCTGGAACACAAGAGAAAGGCTTGCCCAGGACCGAAGCCGATGGAGAACTGAAGTGATCAATGGCCTATGCTCCAGCCAGAGCTAAGAGACAAATCATCGTCATC